GACGGCAGGTGGTTCCCCCAAGCCGCTGCTCACTTCACTTTCCTGGCCCGGGAGTTTGGTCTATACGGGCAAACCAACATGGACCATCTTATCATCGACGTTGTCATCAGTACGTTAGAGGATGTGTACAAAGTCTCCGTCAAGAGCTGGTACATGGAGCATGGACAGGAGAGAGATGAAAAGGTAAACTAAAATGTATGGAACCTCTAGTTCTATAAGTAGTAGAAGAAGTCATTAAAGAAAGGGGAGGGGGACTACACCTGAAGGCTTTCTCGCTTATTAGTGCGATAAATGTTACAAAATTTCACTCATATAACAAGCAGGGTAAGGAATTTTTTTAATCTGCTACCAAATTTGCGAAAAAAAAATTCGTTGCCACTGATACGGCGGCCATTTTGATGACATGTCTTACGTAATGAATACCGCACTTATTTGATGGAAACAGGTTGTTATTTTGTAGATCTATGCATGTTTGCAAACAATAGATCTACAAATTTGTTGGCTGAATTTTTTCTAAACGGATTAGAAACGTTTTAACACCATCAAAAATCTATATATGTAAACAATTCAACAGACAAATTTTCCGTGTTACATGTTCTCTTCATTCTGTGAAAATTTGATGAAGATTGAATAAAAAATGGTGGAGTTATTAAAAAATAGTCTGCAGAAAAACCGCGTTTTGAGAAAACGGGCGATAAAGACAAATAAAAGATTGACTTTATGAGGAAATTAGGGTGACTAACATGCCAGGTATGCGAAAAAATAAGGGGGTTCTTATGCGATGAAAAAGTTGTAAGAGAGTATGAAGAAGCTAAGAATGCCTACAACTCAAAATCCATAATTATTAATTATGAGCTGAATCGGGACTTTCAGGGTGTAGCCCCCCAACCCCTTTAATTGTCATACACTGCCATGGGGATCCTTCTTCTACTGATATGCCAACCTCTTCTTAATGTCTAAATGTTCCTGGTTATAGTTGCTGTTGTATTTTAACTCTATTCCTTCCAGACAAAGAGAGGTCTTTGATATATTTTCTGGAACGCAGTTCTCTCTGTACATAGGACCATATTGGCAATAATGAGCTAAATGTGTAGCCTATGATGGCCTTGAATTATGTTATTACGATGACCTTAGAATGTCAATAATGACGACCTCAAAACAGGTCGAGTGTGGGTGAGGTGGACCGCATTAAGTATTCTACAAAAGAAAAAATAAGTTTCACTTTGAAAAAGAATGAAGTACAATTTAGAAATCACGTTTACAATTTGTCAACAAAGACCACCAAAAGCTGTCAGCCTGTGATATACATATGTATTATGATACCCCAAAGGTAATTTTAAAGAATCTTAAAAAACCCCAGGCAACTCCTCGGCAAGAAAGTATGTGAGAAAAAGGTGGGGGAAAGACTAACACTCAACTTTGATATCAATTACCCTACTGGCCGCAAAATATCGTCGTTTTTGCCTCAAATGTCATGCCGACCCCTAGTTTGACACCCCAGATTTAGAAGTTCCAATACCCAGGCCTTTTGCATTTAATGAAAAAGTCGGAAACTATACATAGATCTAGATCTATTTGCCTTTTGAATACAAGTTTTCCTGTGCATGGATTTTATCCCATTGTAATTGGAGTTTTTTTCCCTGTAACGTCAAATCTGTGCCTTTGTACTTTTCCAACACCAAGTCCCTATGGGGTTTTTTCAGTCCTAAAGCGACAATGTTCATCTGTTCGCCTCATTTTTTCTTACAATAGCACACTTATTTTTTCCTCTCTTTTGGTTGAATTTAAAAAAAAAAAAGCTTGATTTTGTTGCTGATCTAGAAAAAGAATGTTTTCTTTATCAGAACCTGATTGATTTGCTTGTTAACATTTGAGAGTTGTGTGCCTTTGTTATCTCCTGCAGTGTGCAAAGCGTGAGACAATCCAATTTTACAGAAAATTCCAGATAACGAATAATTACTCCTGGTTACTAAGGCAACCAGATGCAAAACAAAGTTGCTAAAGCATTTTTAGATTTGTCGCCCAAACATTTTAATAAATGTACGGTTGGTTTTATTTTTTAATAATGAATATAAGAATTTCTGCAATGTACTAGATTCTCTGAGATAATTGTAGACTGATATCATAGCCTTCAAGGGAATCTCGTCGTCTTTCAGATTCAGACGGCGCGTCGTGAAGAGACACCCAAGTATTTGGCCTACTTGGAGCAGCTTCTATCGGAAAATGGCACAGGCTACTTTGTAGGAAATAGTCTTACTTTAGCTGACATAGCGGCCTTTGACGCTCGCACAGGATTCCTGAAGAACTACCTGGTCTTTGATGACAGATACCCGCTGCTGGAGAAAAACTCGCAACTTGTTTTGGGCAATGAGAAAATCCGAGAATACGTCAACAAAAGAAACCCATCGGACGTCTGAAATAATTAAAGTCTGAAAGCACATGCACAAAGAAATATGCATGCACACACGCACGCACGCACCCAAGCACGCACGCTCACAGCACGAACTTGTTAGCATTATTGTAGTGGATGTTAGCCTCATCAGTAGACGTGTAATACACTTCTGGTTTTAACATTGTCTTGCAAGTTCGTAAGGCCCATAGCCAGCTTGTTTTGTAATTTTTAAAAATATTGTGAGATGTGGATAGTTCTAACTGGCTACCTTGTCTCTTCCCTCCCCTTTAAAACCTCTCCTGTTTTTTGTCCATATGTTTTGGTTCCGCTCTGCATGATGTACTTTTCCACGTTTCTTCCGCCTTGTGAAGGACTGCTACATGTGTACATCTATCTATCTACCTACCTACCTACCTACCTACCTACCTACCTACCTACCTACCTACCTACCTA